AATACAAAGAAAATAAAGAATATAAATAAACATTATTGGGACAGAAATATGAAATAAAACCTCCCATACTTGGACAGAGGTATTAACCCCATTTTAAGGTGCTCAAAATCTGGTAATTTCAAAGTAAATTGTTACTGAAGCTGCATATTCATGTTGATGATTATATACAATACCAGCCTTCCTCATCTCATTAATGGTTAACTATGGGAGGAATAAATAGTCAGTGTAACACAATAAAATTGCCTGGAAATGTGAATCTCAAGACAATTAGATTAGACAATCTAATGGTAAAATGTGATTCTAGAGAGCCAGGAGCTATTTAAGCTTTGTTAGGCACACAGTTTGATAATGCATAGTCTCTCTGGAGTGGGAAGAAATTAACAGAATTTATTTCATTCCCCAATAAGAATTTTTTTCTTTTGCCTTTGGTCAAGCTCAGATTTTAAACTACTGAGATGCACATGTGTACAGATCAAAGAGATGTGTCTGTTTTCACAGGCCTTGCAAACCATGGGGAGGATTGGCATTAGCAAACACAAGAGTAATACCCACTGCAAACAAAATAAGTTGTTGGAAGCTAATCTTTCAAGATATCTACTTGTCTACAACCTACCTACCTATCTGGTGACAATTTGGCAATGTATAAACTGAGCCTAATAGAATGGGAGTTTAGTACAAAAATTAGATAATACAAAATTTAGAAGGTGAGTTGTCAAGACTGCTAGCTTTTTATAGATTTGAATAGTAAGTAGCCTGCTGGGGTATTGATTCATCATACAGCTCATGAGGACACCTTTTAATTCCCTGGTCTTTACTTTCAAAATAGTAATAACAGTGTAAACCAATGGAACAGTAATAAAAATTAAAGGAAAAAAAAAGACCTTGAAAACAATATAAGTCACTCTTACTATAACAAAAAAATTAAAATGGGAAATGCACTGTCCGGTCATGGTAGAGTAAGGTGCTATATCATTTCTCCCCCTTTTGCTACATCTTTTACTATCTGAGAAGTAAAAGGTCTCCCCCTTCAGGTGTAGTCACCACAGCTCACCTACCAGCACAGCACCCAGAGTCCTCCACCATGATGCTCCCTTCTGCAGTGCTATACTTCCCTTCTCTTTCCCTTTCTGGTTACCTCGGTTATGTGGTCAGCTCCCACGGTTTGGATTTCATGTTTGCCTTTGTCTAAAAACATTTATCCTCACCTAGGCTCCTCTACTTAGTATATCAGAATGCAGCAGAAGCCCATGTGTCTGTGATCTGATCTAAAGTCTGTGCTACAAGCAAAGCTGGTAGACCACCTCACAAACCCACAGCTCTGAGGAAGAAGGCAGCGAGAGGCTGTGTGAATGGGATAAGAGCCAGACCCGGTTCATAGGTAGAAGTTGTAGCACGTGATGAAACACTCCTGTAGTGTTCTCCTTATTAAGGCTGTCTAAGGCTCCCAGAACAGCAGGTTGCCTCCCTCCCCTCCACCTACCCCCAGCCCTGGTCACAAAGATAAACCTAAAATAAAATCCATATTACGACATACTGCATGTAAGAGGAAGACTATCAATTGCCATGGAGACGCCAAACTCCTAGAGAAGCACATCAATCACACAAAACGAGGGAGACAAATATCCAGAAATCAAACCTAAAAATTTAGGAAGAGATGAATACCAGAAAAAGATTGCAAGAAAGCACTGATTGACAACATACAATACAAGAAGAAATTTAAGAAGAGATGGAAATGTAGGAAGCAGAGATTGAAAGTGTGAAAGAAAACCAGAACCAGAGAGCTTGGATAAAAAGATTTCAATAAAGGAAAAAAAAAATGCTGACGAAAACATACAAAATAGGTTAGAACACAAGGAAGAAAGAATTAGTGAGGAAGAAAATAGAAATATAGAAATCTAGAAATGACTCAAGTGGTAAAAAGTGAAAGAAAAGAAAATGAAAATTGAGTTTTAAGTCTCCACTAGGAAATGAAACAGAAGGACAATGGATGTCCTAGAAACTGAAGAGAGAAAGCGAAAGGGATAGAGAATTTATTTTAAGAAATAATAGCTGAAATTTCCCAAACCTGGGGCAGGAACTGTCTACAATGGAATATAATGCAGTGAAGTCAATAGAACATGTAATTATCTAAATGCAAGAGACCTACACTAAGACACATAACAGATAATTGCCACAATTTAAATATAATTATATACAGCTGTCCAGAAAGAACTTTCAGAAATATGAGCAAAGATAAAAAATTATTTATTTACATTTCTGAAATTTATAAGAACACATACATAATATATATCCAATTTAATACTGAAGGTGCATTAAAACAAAGTAAACATTACAGTCCATATCTTGATGTGTATAATTACAGATGTGGTCACATTAATCACTTTTAGGACATTTATAGATATGTTGAAAATAAGTGTGACAACTTGAAATATTTTGCAGATCCCAGAATTAGGTACTTGGAGCAGGGTCTGTGGGAGAGTTGCATTCTTCCCGTGGACTGTCACTGATCAATCCTCGCACCAAAGAAACACCAGTAAGTTGTTGTGAACAGATATAACTGTTTTTCGTCCAACAGTGTTCATACGAAACAACACCGTCTGGCCTGTATGCTATGCATTTATTTGAGTTTATAGTTTGAGAGGATGAAAATCTGTAAAAATGGTAAAATGTGGGAAAAGGAAATGAGAA